TATCTTAAATTATTGCAGCTGTGAACATATTTGGGGACAGGATCAGACCCATTTCTAGCAGCATGTTTTTCTTAACAGAACTCATTTTGCTGCTTTATTTTGTAGAAGACACACCTTTTCCAGTTTTCATCTCACAAAGTGTACTGTAGGATAATAAAAAGCTATCTTTGGTTAAATTAATAGTTGTATAGTACATGGAACAATAGTCTCTCTAGTTTACAGAAAACAGTCACCCTTCCGAAATACCAGTTCAAAGACTTTCAAAGGATTAGGCAATAAGCACTGCCTACACACTTCACCATAAACACTGCAATTTCTGTGGACTCTATAATGACAGAGCTCGGTCATGACAGCAGCGAAGTCGGTCAGGCTGGTTCCCCGACGCGCCGCTGCGCAGTCAAGGGCTGCCCCACCTCACCTCGCCCGCACGGCACGTTCCTGACCAGTGTCACACTGCCACATTTATTGTACCTGCGCTCCCCTCTTCCCACCAGACTAATTGCACTCTGGGCCAGAGCAGTGTTCAACAGGTTCTTGCATATTCTGTAGAGCTCAAAGGTAAGTCTGAGGTGTTTTTAATGCTTATTAGTGGATCTGATTAATAATTGCAGTGTTGTTTTATATAGTGTTTGGGAAGGCAATCGGTGCTGTTGTAGCCAAATTCTACTTAGAGTGTATTTCTGAGAAAATAACTGGAAAAAAAACCCATTTTGTGATTCAAACATTAAAGCAGAGAAGTAGCAACCATAAACAATGACAGTTTTTCACTCAAATTCATACTTTTCTTTATTGGTTATTTATACTCCTTATTTATATTCCTCTTTAAAATTCACTAAAAACTTACAGATTATTTTCTCAGTACAAAAAATAAAATACATTTAAGCTTGAAAATTAATATTCATTGCTCATTAAGTTTAGAAGTATCTCATCCTTGGGGAGCAATCCGAATTTTAGAGCAAAAAGCCACAGGATCAAAAATCCAATGTGTTTCAGGGACCATCATTTTGCTATTATTTCTTTCTGAATTCTAGAAGATAAACTCTCTATATCTTGCTTTATATTTGTTCCGTCTATTTTTGGATTACTGATGTAAAGGCAAAAATAATCTGGTTCATGAGGCTTAAAAAGCATAGTAAGTATGAAAGCTCTGCAAATATGAACATGTTACTCCAGACCACAAGAAACAAAGAAGTGCCATTAATAACTTGCTCATCATGCCACTGTTTACTACATAAAATACTTTCTCATCACTACTGTAAGACAGGGAAATGGTGCAAGGTTCAATTTATTGACATGCAAAAGAATGTCCTGTGAATTTATAGTTCTGAAGATTGTATTATCTACCCACAAGAAGAAGTTGAAATGATTGTTTTCTTGGCAGTTGCAGAGGTTTTGCAGACATTACACCTATCACTGGCAGGTGCTGGGTTGTGTTCAGGAAATACATGTTGCAATTACTATATCATGCCAAAAATCTATTTTTAAATACTTAATATACCACTGGATATACATTATATGAAAATTGCCATATAAGAATTTATTAGGACTTTTTTTTCTCTCTGTGTGGCAGAAATATTCAGCACAAATCTGAGCAGTTTGAGTAAAACACAAAGCTAGATGCAATATAAATGCAACCTTCACAGTGAAGTCCACAGACTGAGGGGAGGTTGACTTGAATGGGACCAGGGCTTCACCCAGAGTGTAGGTGTGCAGATGTACATGTATGTACACTAGTAGCTTCATACTGAATACCTTCTGCTGTAAAGCAATTTAATCTTTATTATTAACAGAATGACAAGGATTTTTGTAGCCTTTTTTCAATTTACTTCAATTAAAATAGAGAAGTCTCTATGATGTAGAGCCACAGCCTCCTCAACATGGCTGTGCCTACAGTAGCATTTTAATACACATCAAGAATGTGCTTTTAAAGTTTCCTGATCATCTCTACTTGTTTCCCTTTGGCTTACACCACTGGGCACTCCTGTCCGTAAACTAAGTGATGTGCTCCAGGAGTAGCCTAACATAGGCCAGCTCTTAAAGGGTACTCAGTCAAAGGGAAGAGGTTGTGGCAAGTTCAGAGTAAACCCTTCCAGAAACGTGTGAAGAGTGGGTGTCAAGTCCTCAGCACCTCTACAGATCTCTTGCAACTGGGCTACACATTCTCCAGTACAGATACAATCAGTGTATACTCAGGTTCACACTGGAGGGCCATTTTTATGGGAAATTGCATTCACATCTTGGTGAATTCCCTGAATAGGGGCCACTGTGTCTCTTCATAAAGCCATACACTGAAGGAGAAATTTTAGCCTTCCCCTTTTTGGAATTTTCTACCCATCTGTCATCGGTCTCAGATGAAATTTGACTCTAGCAGCACAGAAACAAATGCAGAGTGCAAAATCCACTGAAGAAACGTAGTGGTGACCATCCTATGTAAAAACCTCATTCTTCATGCTAAAAAAAGGTAGAGCTAATCTAGGTAACTGAACTGCAGCCTAATCCCATACTGATGTCATTTCTACTCACTTCAGGCTACGCCTACTGCACTGATTTCCACTGAGCTGGTACTGAGTAACATGAATACCAGTGAATCAAAAAGTGAGACCTTTTTTTTCCATTAATAATCTGTTCATAGGTTTCTTAAACACTTACTTGACCACCTAATTTAAAGTTTGGGCTCCTCTGCAAGTTTTGGCTAATCTATAGCACTGCTGTTTTACTGCAATAGCACTATTTGCATATTAAGCTTCAAAGGCAACGAGTATCTTTGAAGAACTTCAATGTTTTTCTAAACTGTATGAACATTGCTGTTGCACTGTAAAAAGAAGAGTTAATTATTACACACAAAAGGATTTCCAGGAAGCAGTTCATCACAGTCTGAGAACTACAGTATACAGCCTTTAAAGCAAGGAGGTTTCTTCTCCATGGTCCCCCATGAAGAAGATTACAAAAGTAAGCCAATCAGAAAAAGCGACAACGAATTTGTTCAGCAAGGATATTGACTCCTTTGTACACTGCTCTGCAAATGAAAATTACAGTTAAAGGGAATTAAGTGTAATTTCCCTACCTAGTTTAGTTACAGCTAAGGGATAATAAGTGATATGACCAAATCTACTTTGTTCACTAATATGACTATTAATACAAGGAAGGAAAGACCATGCCACTGAATTAAAACAACAATACTGTTAAAATGAAAGTATGTGTTTGAAAACTTCATAAAATACAAGCTTTTTTTCTTCACTGTTTTGCAGCTATTACTAGTACTACCAAATCAAAATCTAATATTCAGATTGCACAGCATTTCATAGTCATCTGAAGGCCTATATTCAAATTGTAAACATAATTGGAGCTGATAATTGAATTCCAAAGGGGTTTTCTTTGGGTTGCTTGTTTGGGTCAAAGTGGTTATCCTTGGTTTGACTGATCCTCAAGTTTTCTCTTTTATTTTTTGCTAAATTAGTTACAAATGTTTTCCGAGCATAGGTCCTTTCTGCCATATAACTGACCTTAACTTGGGAAATAAGCACTGTGGAGAAGTGGAACATATGTTAATAAGCAGATTAAATGGCATTTTATAAATACACATGTGTTTCAAGTAATGGTACCACCTTCTAACCACTAAAGACAGAAAACATGTAAGAACAGACCACAAAAGAAATAAGAATAAAGCCAAAATGAGATACATCTACTCATGATACAACATTACTCATAGCTGACTGCTATCTATTGTCACTGTACGTGCACTTTCCATTGCTCTGACAGTGTTACATACAAAGAAGCTAACCTGGGGAAAATGCACAAGTAAATGGCAAAAAAAAAAAACAAAAACAAAAGAACACAACCAAACCAAACCAAAAACAACCCTCAAAAACCCCACCCACAGGAAAAAGCACAAGAGAGAAGGAGGGGAGGCTGAATATGAAAGGAATAGTTAACTTTTTTCAGTTGTACATCTCCTTTCTTCAGATGGTAAAGTACCCACATACATGGACACCTGGTTAATTAATGAACCTGAAGATGTAACTTACCTATACTTTTTATTGTGCTGTCACATGAGAGGTTATGTGTGGGAGTTAAAAACTGCACGATCTCAACCTGTCTCATACTTAGAAAAACATCCCCCCCCCCCATCAAAACCTGACAGATATACTGAACAGCATACCTGCTACAATCAAGTGACTTCAAGATGAGTCCTTCTCATCCTTCTCAATCTAACATCTGAAAAATTAATGCATAATATACAGCTTCCAGTTTCCTATAGGAAAATAAGCTTCCACACAAATTCAGCATCATCCATAATCCGTAGACTGATTTAGTTTTCAATTTGCTCCTGGCAGCATTCATCTGACACTCATTGCTCAGGGTCACAAAACATTATCCATCAACTTTCAGGGCTAATTGTAACAATTACAATTCTTCGCAATGGAGCATAACTCTTTAGCATGCTCTTGGAGTTGCTGCCTGCCCAAGAAAACATTGCCTCGAGCATGCCATCCAAGTATGTATCATTACCTCATTCTATAGCAAAGTAGTTCTGAATTATTCCCCTCTGAGTATGAGGCCTGTTTATAGAAACATGGAATTTTTCTTATGCAAAAACCTTTTGTTGATCATCAGTATTGGATTAGTTCTTTAAGTCGTTAACACTCAGGAATGTAAAGTTTTAGCATTAACATGTGGTAAACTACTGAGACTTCTATAGTGTAACACCAACCTTTTTTACCAGCTTATTTGGGTCTTAACTGAGTAGCTTTGTTTTGCAAAATGAAATAATAGACAAAAGTGAATTTCCTGCAGGTTCTCTATATAACGAAACAAACTTTGAAGTCAACACCATGCAACCCTCCTGTGGAATGATTTTCATTTTTCTGCTAGTAAGGTTGCAATGGAACAAAAGCAATACTGAGGGCAGAAAAGTAAATGAAACAAGTAATGGAAATAGCTCAATTAGAGGTAACAATGAGTCTACAACGCAACCAACTTCACACGGATTTGTTCTGCCTATGACTACTGCCATAAATCCTTCTACCATCAGCCACGCTGCACCAACAACTGCCAATGCCAAAAAAAAAGTAACGAAAAGAACAGAGACGAGCAGCCGGCCAAACAGCATACCCCCGAGCTCCACTGATGGCACCATTTCATCTTCAAATATCACTATGGTATCAAAAGATGGAATAAATAACTCTGCCACTAACTTCAACAGAATCCCTATGTCTTTAGCAACATCTACAACAATGGGTGACTTTTCTGGAGTGACCAAGAGTGCTGCAGCTACTTCTACTTCCACTGCGACACCAAGTAACTCCACAGTCACCTACAGTACCCCTTCGGCTGCAGTGCTCCCCAGTGATAACTCTTCAACCAGTCCCGCTGCGTTGTTCCCCACGGGTATCACTCTGACATCACCCACGGTGAAGCAGGACAGTCCTACACCAAACTTCAACCCCATTCAGCAGACAACAGAGCTGAATCATAATTTCAGCAATCCTTCTACTGCATCATCGAATTCAAAAGATGCCAATGAAGGTAAGTATCTAACTAAAGTCCAGCTGGTTTAATAAAATCATAATGCTGAAATCAAACCGTTTTTTCATTGAACAGGAGGCTTCATAAGATGTGTGAACTAATAGGTGACCTCGTACAGACTAAAACTAAAACTCACCCAAAATAAAAAATATTTTTAAAAGTTATTTGCTGTTTACTTGTTTGTTTAACACTTCCAAGAGTGGGGGAACCTAATGACAGGTACTGCCCATTCACACTGGAGTGGACCTATAAAGCAGATGTGTAGAAATAACATTTAAAATGTGTAACACGTCAACTTTTCCAAGTTCAGAATCTTTTGTGACCAAAGATGACTTCTTATAAATACTTCCAAAGGAATTACTCATTGTGCATTTAATTACCAAGTTGAGTATGCGTGGGAAAACAATGGAGCATAAAACTGTCATGGCACTTTTCTATCCTACTGCTCTGAATCAGGTCTTCAGGAAAAGAAAAGGAAAGATTAGAAGACACAGTAATTTTTTGCCATTAATTAGCTTTCAAGCTTTTAACACAGGAATGAAAGGCTTATCCATCATATCCAGTAGAGTACAGTTTGTACTAAGAACTGAAGGAGCATCAGACTTTCATGTTTCCCATCATAGTTCTAATAATTACAATGTACCCGATTTTTAGATAACATGACTGAAAAGGAAAGGGGGTGGGAAAGCAAGTTCAGTTCCAAGAAAAACAGAATACCTTGAAGAAAAGTTTTATGAAATCTCAGGAAAATCTTGGAGGAGTGCAGTTATTCTGCTAACTGAACAGGTGCAGAAACGTTACTGGATTTCTTACCTTGCATACTCAAAAATTGGTACTCTAAAACTTAATCACTTGAAATTCAGAGGCTGCAATTTTAACTGCTGGCTTAAATACTTACAAATAATTGCATTCAAAGAGCGATTATTGCTTATTTCTTTAAATAAAAGGATAGTGGTTGATTCTGTAATTAAACCTGGAATCCTTTTTATTTGACTAAAAACTCATTTAGCCTTCTTTTTTTTTTTAAACTTCAGTTATTCCCTTGAAAATCAAGGATGGAGATGTCTGTTTTCTTCCACTAAGGCAGAGAGTTTCTGCAGAGAGGCTGGTTTAGTCACAGTCTGCAAAGTGTTTCAGATCCTTGGTGAAAAGCTTCACTCCCCAAAGCCCTCGACTGCTATAAAGCGAGAGTGAATATCTGATCTTACAGATTTATTATTCTCATTCAACTGTCTCTTCTTTCTTTCTTTCTCTCCTAGAGGAAACCAACAAAGGAGGAGTAATAGTTGGTGTCATTGTAGGAGCCATTTTGGGATCGATATTAATTGGTCTGATTGGATATTTTATCTGTGGTAAGAAAAGGTCTGAGTCATTTTCCCACAGACGGCTTTATGACGACACAAGGAATGACCCTGGTAAGGAACAGCACAAGTGTTTTGCGTAAGAACATTTTTTATTTCTGCACAGAGCCGTTTAAATAGTCTGGTCTTATTGAATTATCAGGAATTACATCATTGATCCCAGTCAAACTAGTTTTCAACTGACAGTACTTTATTATTTTTAAATTTTAGCTTAACCGATACTCCCCTTAACTCTATGTCTTACAAGTTATTTTTCAACCTCTGAAATATCAGGAAATATTGTATCTAGTATGAGTGAACCTGTTCAAAGAATTGTGGGTGAGTTCAATACTATAGCTCAAAAACGCTCCCAAACTTTGATTAGCTGAAAAAGGCTAGACTCCTTACTCATCCGACTTCAATTACTGAATGAGGGATGAAGCTGTATCTGTTTTTAGGAGTAAAAATATTTTAAGAGGTTTAAAAAGAAGATTGCTTTTGTCTTCGCCATGAATATGTATAAACTTGTATTAAAGTGTAATGACATAATCTCCAAACATTTGTATCATGTTCCTGGACTTCATTTTTAAATGTTTAAACAAACACTGAGAGGCTAAACACACTTTTTTCTCATATAAAATCAAATCAAAATAAAACTCTGGCAATACGCCTTTTCTGGCTTAAATGCACGAGCTGAAAGCTGCCAGAACGTCAGATTATGAACTAGCTTTGAAAGCCGACCACCCAGGTAGTCCTGAACGGGCGTTACCGGGAGGACACGTGTTATGCTCAGAAGATCGTGAATCAGGGCCTTCACCTTTTGCTCCCCCATATGTAAGAAAGAGGTTAACTGGATTGAGCTGCGACAGACTGCTGAACTAAACCGTAAGGTACCCAGCATTCGGGGATAAGAATCTTTCAAATAATTTATAAAAAATAATTACATTATCCTTTCAGTTCTCCACTTAGACAACTCACTTGGACCATACGATATGAGTTTTGGATGTGCGTCAGATGACAAAACCAGCACAGCAGACAAGGCAGAGAAAGACAACGCAGGGTGCCCATCTGATGGCATTCCTATGGCTGACATGACACCATCCCACCCTTCATCGTAATGTTTGCTTCAGATTAGATTCTCACCTGTTATTTACACGGTTTCATTTTTTCAAAAATGACCTGGCAGCTGTTATCTTACAGCCATTACCGTGCAAACAATGTTTTGGAAAGCAAGGCGAAAATCACAAGGTACATTGATACGCAAGAGGCAGGGCCCAGTAGCAGAGCATCACTCTTCTACTTCATAATTAAATTACCAGTTTACGGTTTTCCTGGAAGGATGTTATACTTGCTTTCCTAGGAATAATATAGACAAATAACACCCAGGTAAAATTCTGCCTTATGTAACTTCGGTCAAGAATGCAGACATTATAACAGAGCAAAATTTGACCAGGGTTGCAATGATATTTTAGCATTCAATAAAAAAATCTCAAGTTTAACTACCTTGAGGTGAAACTCTTCTGTCCAAATATAATTCCTATCTGATAAATGAATTGGGACCTTATTTTCCCCATTCTACTTTTGTACTTTCCTCAGTGAATACGACAAAAAGAATTAGATTTACTTAGATTACTCAGAGGTTGAAGTTTGCTGGGGAGAATGGAACTACTGAGTAATACAGACTACATTTAACCTTTGACTATGATGACACAGAGTTAAAATCACTATTGAAGGGAAAAAAAGACGACAAGCTTCTACTCCTCTAGCAAACTGATCTGTTGTTTGCATTGCAAGCTAGATCTGTAGAAATGACGTAAAAGGTTTTGGTACAGGTTAGATAGAAGAAATACTTATCTTAACATGAAAGGAAAGGAATTATCTCTGCCGTGTATATAGATATCCTAAAAAGCATGTTCCTGTTTTGTCCAGCTAAAGAGTAAAATTATGGCAGTATAATGCAAATAATTGCATAGTTTATCTGTTTGCAATTATCAGAAACATCTAAATAGGAGGAAAGAACATGAAAAAGACATAGCTGTAAAGACATAGAATAAACAAAAAGTGCAGAGAAAATAACTACTCACATGGGATACATGCTTGTTACTATGACTTTGTTAAAATGCTGTATTTAGTGTGGAGACTGGATCACATCGATGTAGTTATCTTGCTAACTGGCTGTGAATGTTGCAATGAGTATATATGTGAGTAAATTACATGCTTGCACACACCAGAGACAGAAACAATGGCAGTCACACTGCAGATGAGTGAAACAGGTATTTATTTCAAAGTTAAAAGATTAAAGAATTGAGTGCATACGTGCAGCGTTGCCATTCCTACAGGGGTCAGTCATGAAAACAGCACACTTCCCATCAAAACCAGAACCTGATTTCTAACATCGTATCCAGTGTGTTGGATAGCACGCTGAAAATCTGAGACACATTCACCTGAGAGAGTATCATGCTTGAAATTAAGAAAATGTAACATTCAGCTTTCATCTTCCTTAGCAATATTATGCCACCTTTCCTGATAATGGTAAAGCAGTATCACATAAGCAAAATTCCTTCTTAGACTTGAACCTTGGCCTTAGATGCAAATTGAAAGAGCTCTCCCTAAGGAGAACTCAAAGACAGAGATGAAGAGACGCTAAGAAACTACCAGCGCTGTCTACATTGGTAACCATATAACCAAGTACAACGTATTTTAGGAATTCATGAAACTAATTATCAGTAATTGCAAGGCTATAACAGCAAGATTAGGAGCCAATGAAGAAATATCACTGAGGCAAGCAATCAAAGTATGCCCTTCAGTTATATTTATATTGTGTTAATTTTTAACAATCTAATTATGATTTTTGTATGTATGTGCATGTGCTTATGTCGTCTATGCACCTCTTTGAGGTTTTGCTGTTTGTACATTGTTTTTTGTTTTTACCAGGCCAGCCTCCAAAATTTGTGACATTTGTTCATCCTTCACTTTAAGTTAGAATCATTAATGCTTATTCATACATATTACATAAATAAAGCTGTTGTGTGCCATTTGACTCTATTTAAAATTGTAAAACTCTGGCTTGAATTCAGACAGTTGTATGCATGTGAACTGGTGTTATTTTCTCAGGGTTTACATAGACAAACATTTACATTGGTAAAATTAATTATCTCTTGTCCTAATACCAGTCTTCCCTACTTTCCAGCAGCAAAATACTATTAGCTTCAGTGAAAGCTAATTCCATCAAGCATTTCATGCGGGAACCGTTACACCTGTCTTATATAGCATTACTACACTGACCTTCAAAGAGAGGGAAGACTGTTCTAGGTAACTCCTGTTCAACAGCGGCCTCTGTGGATATCGCCCTGCTTGGCTTTGTGCCCCATGACATGATGTGTGTGATGTCAGAGTGAACATAATGAAATATTCAGACCGAGAATTTAAATATAAATAGTTAAATTGCTGTAAGCACTTAACATCAAATCTTTCCTATACTTCTCTCTAATTAGCTCCCACAAAAACATTCTCATTTACTCTGTAAGAATTCTCTCTATTAACTCCAGATCAGTAAATTAACCAACATGTTTGCCTCTAAAAAGACTTCTGCCTGCAGGATATAAAATTCAGGCTTAAAGACATTTAAGATGCTAAAGACAGTCATTACATTAATGATAAAAGGTATTATTTTCACGCACTATTAGCATAGAAATTGAAGTTGATGTAAACAGGAAAAAAAGTCTGTCTGACAAAATCATAATACTTCTTTAAATTTTATCAAGAGCTATAACCTCCCTTTACCCAGTAATCATATAAAAGGGTCAGGTGAACTAAAAGTACAAAACAAATAAAAATGTACTTACCCCAAATTGCCATGAAAATAGCAAAGAAGACAGTCCCACCATTATCAAACAAATGTGTAACCTGAATGGAAAATAAATACATCAGGAACAAATAATATTGCCACCTTATCTTTTGCCCCAAAGAATCCCAGAGTACAGAACTGGTCGCAGTAACTAAAAGCTAAGCATTCTGGTAAGAAGTCCTACTTGCATGTTTCTTTTACCAAGGTTTGTCCCCTTCTGTCTTTCTGTAGAACTTGAACTCTGGTTTTGCAGACTGTCACTTCATGTATCTCCAGTCTATTTCTTTCACAGACACTAAGAGCTGCTCTGTCCTTGTCCAGGCAGGCTAAAAATTCCTCCAGAGTTCTTCCCATACGCTGGGTCAAATTTAACCTCAACATTTTCTATTTTAAGGTTTTTATAAGCTTAAATAACTTCTGTCTTTTCACTTTTCTTCCTCTGTATATTACTTAGTTAATGTCTCTTTTGCTTCAATTTTCTTCTTCTCCCAAGCTATCTTCTGCAGGTAAGAATAGTATTTATTCCTTTTTATCCAGACACCTCAGTCTCTCAGATTGTTGACATATTATCCTTCTTAAAAGGCTAGTGCCCCTAAACACCAACATACACTAAATAAATGCTAAATACCATCCCCCCCAAAACATAATTCTAAATTGTGCACTTAATTTCTCCTCATGAATGCTCTCCTTTTTGTTGCATTTATCCCTTATCTTACTCTTTGTTGTAAGATTCTTCAGGCAGAACAGATATTCTGCTGCAAAGTCCAAGGCTTACCAATAGAAAATAAGTAATTAGTTTTTGCATGCCTATGGATCACTCTAAACATCTGAGTGGGTGAATTTGATGTCTCACTTATTATGAAAACATCACAATTTACATTACAAAAATCCAGAATTTCTAATATTCAAGCCATAATATGAAACAGTATTTAGGACACTGAAACTAAGATCATTATACTTTCAATAGATTTAATGTTGCCAATTTACAGCAATATAATTTATCCAGGGATAACGGGCCTACATTTCTTCTAATGAAAGGTGGTTTAAGATGTTGCTGAGCATTAGTAAGCAAAGCACAGGCTTCAAATTCCTATTTGAAAAAAAAAGAACAAATCATTATATAATAATAGAGGAAACCAATTTATCATTAACAGACATATGTTAGAAAGAGGATCTGAAGAGAGAGGAAAAAGAAATGAAAAGGTGCTGCAAATGGCTTTGATATGTAACGTCCTAAACCATCCAGAAAACTCATGGTGATTTCCCACTCTTCAAAATAAGAAGAGAAATAGAATTCTTGAAATAGAATATTCTTGAAAAGACTTTACTTTCATTGGTGCTGACTCTCTTGCTGACTTTTAAGCTTTTTTCATGAAAAGAAACCCATCTTTATGCCAATGGAAGGGCGCAGGTAACCAGATTCAGTTTTGCTGTACTGTGACCTTCTCTTACATCTGAAGTTTCTCTGGCCAGCAGCAATGCTCTGTACATGAGGTGTGCCGGGATGCTGGGGCTGACAGCCCACCTTGGGCAGTTGCCTAACCCGCTCCCACGAGAGCTGCCTGCTGCAAGGAGAACTCACCCTGCTGACAGATTTTCATTCTTCTAGAGAAGGCTGGCATTATTGCTTCTGCCTCAGAAGTTAAGAAAACTAACTCAGGAAAGCACAAAAAGTTAATAGAAACAGTGTTGCTTGCCTCTATTTTATTTCTTATTGAGTAAAAATTATTATAATATTGTAAGAGTTTATTAAAAACACATCTATTTTCTCTGTATGTCAGTTCTGTTTTTCTTTAATTTTTTTAGGGTTCTGAAATGGGAATTGACTATTTGGTATTGGACATCAATAAATCCAGTATGTTCCCTGCATGAATCACACAGTCAGATCAATTGTACATACAAATATGTCTTTCGCTTCATTTTTCTTTTGCTTCCATAAAGGAAAACACAAACATAATGGGTATGAGACCAAAAATGTGAGAGGTGAACAAAAGCAGTACAATAAACCTGATGAACATTTGCAGTTTTGAATGTAGATCTGTGTTAGGATGTGATTTTTGGCTATTCTGCTCAGTAAAGAGTGCATCTTTCCAAGGAAATACAAAATGAACCAATCAACCAACCTTAATCCAGCAGAATTAATGTTGCTAAAAGTACAAGGTACATAACTGGCTCCTGATCTAGCTTTGTGTTTATAAAAAGTGTTTGGGCTAAAGTCTTTCAGCACCACACTCAGAATTAAGATTTGACTGTCTCAAAGGCTAAATGCAC